AGGGTTAGCAAACTGCAGGAAGACGTCTTTCTGCGCACAGCTAACACTCGCTAACACTCGCTAACACTCGCTAACAGTCGCTAACCTCGCCTCGGATTGTTTTTGTCTCCGAGGACGGATTTCTATTGCAACCACCACAGAAGAAGATACGGCCGCACACTTTGACGACTCGAGGAATACAAACCTTTGCTATTTTATCTTTAAATTTAACGTCTTAGGAAGCTGATGCTAACGAGATTTTTGATGCAGTTTAGAGGAAGTGTTTGATATTTTGGGAACAACAACAACAGAGTTACATTATATGGGTTTAGCCTAGCTTAGCACAAGGACTGTGAGCAGCGGGAAACTGCTAGCCTAGTTCCATCTAAAGTGAAAGTAGCAGCAAGTTGTAGCCTGTTAGCTAACTAGCTAGCCACGATCCATTCCAGTGAGATTTCCTCCAATGAAAATCAAGTGTTCTTCCTGGTTCACCTGTCCAGGTTATATAAATGTAATTTAATTTTAAAGTTATGAGTTTCAAATTTTATCCTGATTTTGTTTTTGGGTTTTTTGTGCGATGTTGTTGTTATCTTCTTCAACTTAATTTAATTTAATTGTGTGTACTATTTATATTTTCACAGTTTGGAATTGTTATTTATTCATTTTCTGAATTTTTCTAAATAGCTTTTTATTTATTTCTTGATGTATTCATTATCTTTGACTTTGCAAACAGGTTCTGGATCAGGTGAACATAGCTGTCACATGTTCTTCCCAAACCGTCAAGCTTAGCTTTTAATAGAGAAGAGGAAGAGGAAGATGAAGAAGAGCATGTTGAGGGTTGGGACGTTGCATGCAGATCCTTTGAATGCGTGCGAGGAGTCCTGACTTTGTAAATAAAGTTGTAATGATTTATTTTTTGTACCTGAGCTTCCTCTCCGCAGAAACACCTGAGCGCTCGTCATGAAACGCCTTGATGTCGCTTTGAGATGTTTGTCTTTGCTTCAGATTAGTTTAACGTTGTCCTCCTGATGTCACAAAGCTCTGTTTTATACGACTTTATTAAGAACTAATTTCAGGGAGATTTGAGGATGTCTCGATTCACAGACACTGTGTTTAACACACAAGACTATTAATGCTAATCCATCAAATTACCCAGAAATCCTTTCCCCAAACCCACTTTATTCGGAAACTCCACGTCTACGACGGCCTTTTTCTTCCCCGATGGCCCGTTTGCCCGATGGCCCGTTTGTCCGATGGCCCGTTTGTCCGATGGCCCGTTATGCCCCAAAACAAGCGGCTCTGGAAAAACCCTCGAATGCAACAAACTGAAGCACTTTTGGATCATTGTTTTGCAAAATGACATTTTTCAGGCCTGAGAAACGGACTGTTGGTGTATTGGGATTTTTGAATAATGGGCCATCACAAGAATAAAAAAATTTGAAGTTAGCAATGACTGCTAACTGTTGCTAACAGGTTTAGCCAGGGTTAGCTTCCTGTTAGCTTCTTTTCCCCAGCCGTACGATGTAGCTAAAAACTATTTAGAGCTGGGTATCTGCTTGTGAATTAAGCTAAAGGTGGCTATAAATACACACTGAATATAATCTTACTTTTACACATAATGATTAGAATAACGATTTGTCCCACTAAAAGCAGGAGAGGCAGCACGACATGTAAATACTCTTTATTTAAAAGTACTCTTATTGTTTTGATTGATATTTATGTTAATTTGTGGTTAATTTGTGGTCCATATGTTCAGCATATCTTCAACACAGTCTCACGGCATTTCGTGTTATAGTCACGAAATTAATCTATTGATTCGTGTTCACCAACACGATTTCGCCATTTTTTTCGTGTCACACAGAACGATTTTAAAAGCAATGTAAATAATAACAAATTAGAAGGAAAAAGACATTTAAAAAAATACAGATTTCAGTATTCTGACACAGAACGATTTTAGAAGCAATGTATTTATATTGGTAGTATGTTTCGTGCCTGCACCAAATAATAACAAATTAGAAGGAAAAAAAGATGACATCAAATACAGATGTCAGTATTCTGAGGCTCTGAGACATTTCTTTTCCTCACTGACGGCAACAAAACTCAGACATTATACAATTTAAAATAAAAGGGATAGGGTTAGGCTTAGGGTAAGATATTGAGTAAGAACATGTTTTTATGAACCACACAGCTTCTGGTCTTCCAAGACCCGACCGGACAAAAAGACGTGTTGCAGGCACGAAACATACTACCAATAGAAATACATTGCATTTAAAATCGTTCTGTGTGACACGAAAAAAAGGTGAAAATCGTGTTGGTGAACACGAATCAATAGATTAAATTAATTTCGTGACTATAACAAGAAATGCCGTGAGACTGGGTTGATATCTTTGTTCCAGATGCTTCATATCCGAGATGTGTTTCTCTTGGTCAACACGAGGAAATCGTCTAAAAGTCAGCTGATGTGTCCTCGTTGGGTTTCACAACATCTCCTCAATGGCTGTTTCCATTTGTTTTACTAATGTCTTCCCGTGTTATTTCTTCTGTCTCGTCCTTCCTGAAGTCCTGAAAGTCGGAACAAGACTTTAGAAAGGGACTTCAGGAGCTTTATCTGAAACTGTGTAGGTCAGAAGCCATGCGGACAAACACCAACACGTTTGACTCTTTTTGTAACGGTCAAATCCAGAGTACGGAAAGCAGAGAGGGACATTTTCCAAACGGAGGCGACTTTCCTAAACAACTTCTGTGACTCCCTTCATCTCCTGGAGGAGTATAAGGAACGTACGGATGTGTCACCTGGGTTTAAAGCTGGTTTCAGCGCCGATCGTTCGTCTGAGATAAATCCAGCGCTGATGCAAAAGTGAAAACATTTTGACGCTGTTTTCTTGGGGATTTCTTTCTTTGTTTGTTTTTTAAGAAGACATTGAAAATGCAAACGCCCGCCCCCTGAATAACCTTTCCCCCCATCATGCATCAGTGCTTCATTATGCAACTTCTTTTATTGTCTCTGGAGACTCATTTTGAATTTAGAGGACGACGAGGACAAATATGTTTGAGGTACATTTCTGATTGTTTATGTCGTACGTTTGTTTTAATATTTCCACGAGAGGTTGTCTTACGTTCCCGATATTTTCCTAAAGCGTGCATGCGTTCAGAGGGAAGACGTTATTATTATTATTTAGGATTTGTTACGGCTTGTGTTCTGTTGATACAAATATGATTATTGAGGAAACATCTTCTATGGTTTTAGCGACTAGAATAAATGACTGTCCAATAAAGTCTGCGTCTCTTTTTATTCACCAAGGGTTATAAAAGATTTATAGGAAAAGTGTGTCTGTAGCATTTAACACTCAGTTAACTTCACTTCATGATTCTCTGAACCAAACTCACGTTACGATAAATTAAGAATCGGACGATCTGATTTCACGAAACCAAGCTGGTGTGTTTATGATCCAGCATGTACAGAGAAACGATATATACTGTGTGTGTGTGTGTGTGTGTGTGTTTGTGTGTGTGTGTGTGTGTGTCTCTGTCTGTGTCTGTGTGGGTGTGTGTGTGTGTGTCTGTCTGTGTCTGTCTGTGTGTGTGTGTGTGTGTCTGTCTGTCTGTCTGTGTGTGTGTGTGTGTGTGTGTGTGTCTGTGTCTGTGTGTGTGTGTGTGTGTGTGTGTGTGTGTGTGTGTGTGAACACAGAGTGATCCCCTGAGGATGAGATCAATGGAACACAGAGTGATCCCCTGAGGATGAGATCAATGGAACACAGAGTGATCCCCTGAGGATGAGATCAATGGAACACAGAGTGATCCCCTGAGGATGAGATCAATGGAACACAGAGTGATCACCTGAGGATGAGATCAATGGAACACAGAGTGATCCCCTGAGGATGAGATCAATGGAACACAGAGTGATCACCTGAGGATGAGATCAATGGAACACAGAGTGATCCCCTGAGGATGAGATCAATGGAACACAGAGTGATCCCCTGAGGATGAGATCAATGGAACACAGAGTGATCACCTGAGGATGAGATCAATGGAACACAGAGTGATCCCCTGAGGATGAGATCAATGGAACACAGAGTGATCCCCTGAGGATGAGATCAATGGAACACAGAGTGATCATCAGGGCCCAGGAGTTCAGATGTTGTCCCTGTAGTTCAAAGCAGTTCAGGATCACCCTGATCCAGATTACGACTTTTCAAGATGACTAGATCCTGAATATCAGTGCTTTAATCCGACCGATCTCCATCTAGTGGATATGAAAAATAATACAAGCAAGACAAGAGACCACATTGCAGAGACATCTATTGTCTGCACTTACTCTTGAAAGGTGATTACAGATGGACTGTTTTTTTGATGAAGATATTTTTTCTTTAATCTAAATTACATTTGTGATTGACAATCTTTATTGTGATAATTTTATGAGCATAAACATTGTCATCAACAAAATGACCAAAACATGAAAAATCAAATGTATTTCCCATGAAGGCTAAACATGGTGTATTATTTCAGTTAACAAACTTTGCCATCTTATTTATATTGAAACATATTTTAAAATAAATTGTACAGCACATTTTGCTCTGGTAATCCACTGGAGACCCACCCCTCTGGTGGGATCAGGATAATCCACTGGAGACCCACCCCTCTGGTGGGATCAGGGTAATCCACTGGAGACCCACCCCTCTGGTGGGATCAGGATAATCCAGTTTTTTGGGATCAAACTGATCCCAATCCTGTTGTCGGTTTGAACTACCCGTTTTGAAGATTTGATCCAGATTAAAGCTTGGATTTGATTTCCTGATCTGATCGATATCAAAGTGATCCTTATCCTGTTTTTTGGTTTTGAACTACCCAAAATCCAAATCTGATCTGATCAGATAGGGATTACTAATATATATCCTTTATTTAACCAGGTAAAAAGACTCATTGAGATTAAAATCTCTTTTCCAAGAGCGACCTGGCCAAGAAGGGCAGCATGAACAAAGTTACAACAGATAAAACACAGACAAGACAGGCAGACAAATACA